TAGTTTTAACACAACTCAGGAAGTAAGGTGGTTCACCAATTCTCTTGAAAGGAGGGTATCCTTAGTAAATTTTCAAAATTCAGCACTTAGGGAAAACAAAAGATCTAATCAACTTTTTCTACAGTTTGGTCCCACCTATATAGACAGCCACTTCTCAGTATTAGCTCTCTGCTTTGGACAAGCTAATCTTTTTTCACAAGGTCCTCAAAACATTCTCTTTTCTAAAATTTGGTTATGCTATGCTGTTCCTTGCTCAGAGCCTTCTTTACTCAACTACAATCCAGACACATCGCAGGTCTTGAAGAAATTCTTCTAAAACTTAAACATTTTCAATGATGTATCCTTACTAAACATAGGTATCATAAATGTATACATTTTACCATATATAACAGAAGAGAAAAAATAACTTACCTGGCAACACTAAAACCATAGTAGGCCACCCAGAAGATCCTGAAAATTTCTTTAATTCTATCCAGGAATTAAGATTTTCATGAATAGATGTCAATTTTGGTCCATATCCTGAATTTTGAATAGTTCTGACAGGAATCAACAAACGAAGGACATCTTCTGACTGTGCAGTGCCACATTGAGGGTCAAACTCGATTGTCATCCACCGTACACATTCTGGAAACGTCACCTGAGGTCACCAGGCAAGAGAATACATGCATTTGTTAAGAAGAATTAGATTTTTGCTTTTTGTCTATCTTAGAAAGAGGACAACATACTGGAAAGATGATGTTTTCAATGTATTTATAAAATAAATTTTAACATATAAAATTCAATGTATTTAACTAATAGTTAAATATGATAAGAAATGAGGTATTAATGTTCAATATCAACTGTTCCTATACCCCACTTACAATATTTACTGCTTTCTACCTAATATCTAGTTGATATTGCATTCATAATATCTGTAAGTACACATTTATATCATTAGAAAAAATACTATAAAACGGTTTAGTTTGCATAAACATTCAGCTGCTTTTCTTGTGGAAGTTTATTTATATAGTAAATTTTCTATTTCAGTAAGTATACATTTAAAAATATAAGTAGGTAAATCAAAACAATTTGATAGGTAAAATATAAAGATATATTGATGGAAAATGAATAAATCACCAAAATGTAAGGTTTTAGTCACTTTTAGGTTATCTACCATTCGAAATATCTGTTACAAATGCTTCTTATCATTAGCAAAAAAATTTCATATATTATGAAAATAAATATAAACATACACACATAAAACCTTAATTTTTATATTTTCCTGACCTACAGTTTTACTGTATATATGAGTTTGTGATGGCACATAATTACATGTATTTTTGAGGCCACTTTTAAGCTTCCATCACCCTCATCATAGACAGAATTCTGTCATGGTAGGTAAAGAACAGTTCAGCAGGTCCTTGTCAAATGGTAAACTATGAATTGGTTGTAAGACATGGTACGAGCCTTAAGGATTTTATTAGGTATAGTATTAATCTAAAAAAATTACCTAGGACAAAGGCAAACATTTCGGTAAAGGATTTTTAAAATTCTCCATTTAAATTAAAAGTTCAACTTTGTTCACAACATAAATGTAAATTAAAGCCAAACTGAGGTACCATTTCTCCCATTATATTGGCAAATGGTCCACAGTTGAACCATATAGCAAAACCTTGGATTGCGAGGAACTTGGTTTGCGAGTGTTCCTCAAGATGAGCAAACATTCCTAATGCATTTTAACGTGGTAAACGAGGGATGTCTTGCATTATGACTAGTTTGTTTCCGGAATGAATTATACTTGCAAACCAACCAAGTATATTTTAACTTGGCAAATGAGCAATGTTTTGCAATACAAGTTGTTTGTTTCCAGGACGAATTATGCTTGCAAACCAAGGTATTACTGTACTCTGTTGGGGGAGCTCAGACAAAACAAGTACTCTCATTCATTGCTGGTGGGGACACAAAACAGTATAATCTCCAGGGAAGGGAATTTGTCAACGTCTGGCACAACTACATATGCATTCACCCTCGGACAGCAATCCCAGATCTGCAAAGCACAAGGCTTCTCATTCTATATTTCTTTAGCTTAGCAATGCCACTCCTAGGAATTTACTTTGAAGATAGGCTTCCAACAGTATGAAAACAAATCAAAACAATATACACATAAGGTTATTCACTGCAAAAAAACTGCAAAATACTGAAAACACCTTAATGCTCACACATGAGACTGACTGAATAAACTATGGTACATCTTCACTGTAGAGTACCATGCAGATGTAAAAAGAAAAAACGAGGATTATCTCTTCAAATGGATATGGAGAGATTTCTATACCCATTGTTAAATTTAAAAAGCAAAACACAAAAGTATATTTAGTGTGCTACCTTTTTTAAATAAAGAAGGAAAATAAGGCTACATCTGTCTACATCTATCTATCTGTCTGTCTGTCTACCTACCCTGATTTTTTCAAAAAGGAACACAGGGAGGATACATCAGGATATATACTGGAGTAAGTGAGAAGTAGAAAAAGGAAAGGACTTATAATTCTGAGTATATTATTCTGTATAATTTTATTTGTGGAAACATTAATATTTTACATATTTAAAAACTAAGATTAAATCAAGTAGGAATATACTCATAAAAATTGAGTGCAAATAAACAAATAAACCAACTTTATATCAAGCTGATCATATAGCAATCTCTACATCTACACAAAAAGAAATACTCCACATTACTTTTGAATATTGTATGTTGATTATGTAATGTAAGGGGAATTTATTCTAAAGACAAATATTATGCAAAGAAATCATTAATTTTACTTAATAGCTTTATTATTCACAGTGACATACATTAATGGAATGGGTATGAAGAAAAGACCTCTATGGTGTTGACTGAAACTAGTAAGGAGTGTTCAAAAACTAACGAAAACACAGTACAAGGACATAAAAATCCAACTTGAACAAACTTTCACTTGCCAAAGCAAAATCTGAGCATCAAAATGAATAAATGACAGCAAAGGATTATAACATTAAGCAAAAAAAGAGTCCTTAAGTTCATGACATAAACACATAAAACAAATAATTGAAAAAAATTTTTAAAGTGGAAGGGTTAGGAAAACTCTCCTTTATAATAGAATGCCAAGTGGAAGGATAACAGAGTTATAGAGCCATTTTGCAACCACTGTAGTAACAGGTGATTTGGGTAAGAATAACCAATGGATGCTAAAACTATTGGGTGAAAATGTGTTGGGAAACAGCATTTTTTTATAGTCTCTGGATGTGTACCCATAGACATTTCAAAGGAGAAAAAATATGTTTTTGATAACGAAATTTGCCAGCTATCACCTTAATCAAGTGACTAAGTGCTTCCTGATGGGTTGCACTGAAAATACATCACTTGCGTTGCTGCCCAAAATACGTAACCTAAGCCTAATCATTAGGAAACAATCAATCAAATCCAAATAAAAGGATATTTTTATAAAACCACTGATTGTATTTCAAAAATGCCAACGTCATAAAACACAAAGAAAGGCTGAGGAACTGTTTTGGATTAAAGGAGATAGAAGAGACCTGGAAACTAAACGTAATGTAAGAAGAGTGTGATTATATAACAGACCTTGGTTTAAAAAAAGTACCACAAATGCCACTACTGGGACAACTGACAAAATGTTTAGCTTGTAACATGATATAATACTACCATTTGTTATGATAATACTACTACATCAATGTTAAATTCCTTAGATTTGATCACTGTTGTGGTTATACGGAAACTTTACTGTTCATAAGAACAAGGTGAGGGGTCATGATGTTTGCATCTTATTCTTAAATGTTTCTACAATAATAAATATAGATAAACAAATACATAAATAAGTACCACAAATGTGGCAAAATGTTACCTGAAGAAGCTAAGTGAAACGCATATGGGTGTTCACTGTACAAATCTTGTTACCTTTTTCTATAGGTTTGAAATTTTTTGAAATAAAAAGATGAAAAACATGAGAAATGAACACACACACACATTCATCTACATCTGTATATGTGTGCACTTATACTAAAACAATGGAAGGATAAACTAAAATTATAATAAAATAAAATGTTAAGGGACAGAGATAGAAGCTAGACTTCTTTGAATATACTCTGTTTTACAGATTTGGCTTAAGACTATGTAATTTCTTAAATTATTACAAAACAAAATAAGATTTTAAAAGCAATTACTGAAAATCTAAAATAAAATAAAACAAATGATGCCAAAAGTATATTCAATTAGTGGCATAACTGCACAGAAAAGGGATTATTCCAACTTACTTTAAAACACAGTAATTGACCATACCCATTTTCTTTAAAACAGTTATTTCTTTATACATCCTAGGTTGGATACACCCAAAAGACAACACACACACAGAATGAATAATTAAGTGATTTTCTAATTCTAAACTTTCCAGGGTCATCGATAACAGGGATTCTAGAAGTATATGAAAAGACATTTAGGTGTAACATACTGTGGTCTTTATTTTTTAATTAGTAACATCGGTACAAACTCATGAGTTATTTTACCTTAAAAAAAATACATATACACATAGATTTGTCTAGACATAAATACATATATATTCACATATATAAAAATACATACACATATACAAAAATAATATGTGTCTGTGTATAAAGATATGTGTGAGTAAATGTACTAGTTCTGGGCACTATAAAGTATCTAAAAACAATAACCACCTCAGGGGCAATGAGCATCCCTAGTGCCAGATTCTGGCTTTTAAATACCTATCACCATTAGAAGAAAGGAGGTCAATTTGAAACCATGTCTTGTGTAAGCTCTGAGGCAGGAAATGTATAAGATGAACCTGGGAAATCTTACACCAGACGGCGAGGATACTAGGAATGACTACTGGGGTGTGTCTAAAGGACTCAGAAGATGGGCTGGTGGTGGAGGGGCTCCTGTCCAACAGAGACATTTGATCCAGTTTCTTAAATAAAATTCAAGAAAAAGGAGAGAGATGAAAGGGACCTATAGATTAAAAGAGATTTAGGAGACAACAAATCACAATATATGGATCTTACTTGGATTCTAATTCAAACAATAAAAAATGTGTATATTTGGTGACATGAAGGAATTGTTAGTTTTTTTAGTGGGCTAATAATATGGTTATTTTTATGGGCCCTTATATTTTAAAGATACATAATAGCTATTAATGTGCTTTAAAACAATATAGAAAGGGACAGAATGGGTGGGGAATAAATGAAACAGATTTGACCAAGAGTTGATAACTGTTGAACCCAGAATGATGGATAAATAAGGTGACTGTACTAGCTCATCTTTTTATACATTTACCATATTCTACAATAAAAAGTTAAATACTTTGTAAGCACATAAAATTTAAACTTATAATTGATAAAGTAGATGAATCCTCCTTCTCCTTAATTTACATGATACAATTTAAAATGTAAAGAATAAGGATTTTGAATATCCTATAATAACATTATATTTATAAATGTTTTACATTATGTTCAATAGAGTACTTTAAATCTTATATTGGGTATGTAAATTTTCAGAGCTCAGGCTGTGGTACAGATATCAGTTCAAAAAGTATGATTTTTAAGTTTTAATGGTTATATCCACTATTACAATATATAATATGCAGTTTAGCATTTTATATTGCACTGTACTTACAAAAATCTATGAGAACAGCTCTCATAAACCCTACAAAACTATACTCTTTAACGATAAAAATTCTGTCTTAAACTCTTTTGTGTATGACAGTGCCTAACTACTTTCTGATTCTCTATATTTAAATACTATAAAAGAAGTTATACTTTTGAGCTGAGGCAAAGTATCCTTTAAGATATCGTTATAGAACATCAAACCAAGTTTTAAATGTAAACTCTCCCTAGGAATCAGTGCCTACCTTGTAGTGCATCACACATGCAGGTTTATAGGGGTGCTCACTCTCTATGACAGCATAGTGATTAGAGGTTGTACAAGCAGAGAGGCCTTGTTCAGGCTGGTTTCCTGTGGTGCTATCTGTTGACTGATTAGGATTGAATGCAGGGGGCGCATACTTCTGATTCAAAATGGCAACTGAGGGAAGCAACTGTTGGACAAGGCCAAAGACTTCTACAGCCACCTAGTATAAAAAAAATGATTACATGAGATAATAAATGTGAAAGTTGCTTTAAAATTATTAATTACTATAATTGTTGGTTATCCTTATTATTAAGAATGTACATCTAGAGTTTCATCTCGCTAAGTTTCTGTTTAACTAGGAATTGTTCTATGGGAAAATAAGATTTATCTTAGATGTCTTAGCTGTTATATGAATAACCTAGTCTGTATTTTTAAACACTTTTGTCTTTTTGTGATCTGTAGTAAACTAGGTTTTACTCAATACTTATGCCAAAAAATCAATAGTTTATGATTTCTTCCTTGTCTTAAAATATCTCAATTTCAAAACATTCCTATCCTTTTACCTTGCTATTTTTATTCAAAATGTAGAAAATTTGGCATCAACCTCACAAATTAAAAAAATCTGTTATCTTAAGCTTTCCTTACATATCATGTTTCTAAAATATATTTGCCATTCCAAAATTCTTCAAATGTAAAGCCAATAAGTAAGCATAGTAATCCAGTAAACAATATTAACAAAACAGAAAGGTTTAACTAATAATAGATATGTCTGTCTGCTTGTTACCTATAACTCTGGTGCCTCAAAGATTAAAGTATTTTTAAAGGAAGAATACAAAGTCTAAAAAATTAATATTACAAAAAGATTCAAAGTTATAGAATTAAATTACACACCTTGGGAATAGCAGCAGCTACTGGTCCTATGTAGGCTATAATAAGGGGAAGCAGCATGGAAAACAGACTGGAAGAGCTAAGCAGTTCTGGAATGTCATCAGCTAAAAAAGGCATTAAAACTATAGTTAGAAGGTAATTTCATTGTAATGTATATGTGCTATACTAAATCTGTATTCTATTTTCTTGAGCAAAATTACAGTTGACGTTGATTGAGTTCTTATAAAGGACCTGGCACTATTTTAAGGGCTTTATTTACATGTGTTATCTCAATTAATCCATAAAAAACTGTTATTCTCCCCACTTTTTGGAAGGGGAAATCAAGGCACATAATGTTTAAGTACCTTGCCCAAACTCATACATCTGCAAAATCATAGAGCCAGGATTAGAACCTAGATTAACAGTCATGATTTTAAACCATTACTCTTGGTATCACACATGGCTACATATGTGACATTAGGCAAATTACTCAATCTGTGAATGCCTCAGTATTCATTTGTAATAAAGGAAAATAATAGTACCTCCCTTATTGGATGTTGTGAAGTTTGAGTTAATGTACATAAAACACTTAGAACAATGCCTGCACATAATAAGCATTCAAAAACTTTTGCTGTTATTAACCTATAACACCTTCTATTTTTCCAAGGAAAGCACTTTGCTGATGAACGTTTTAATCACTCATCCATGAACATAGCGCTGGGAAGATACATTGAATATGGATTGTGAAGACCTTTATATTAAAGGTCAATCAATTATTCCCAAATACTTGTTTCTAGTTCTGCTGTTTCATCAGAACAGGCTGGGGATTTATTTAAAAAGTGCAGTTTCTTAACCCAGCATAAACCCCTAGTTTGGATGGGCCAAATACTCTTAATTTTTAGCAACTTTCCCAAGTGAATCTGACGTGCAGCTAGATTTAAAAACAAATATTATAGATAACAGTAAGGCAGGGTGGGTAACAGTGAATGTTTCTGTAACTATAACTCTACTGCCAGTGTGGAGGATGACTAGATAACAAGATACAGAATGGGGAAAGGTGGCCTTAAGCTGATTAGGATGTTACCCATCCATGAAAAAAAGAGGACAGGTACTTGCACCACGGCAGCCTGAACTATGAGAGAATGATAGAGAGGAGGATACAAGCTGAAGAGTCTCCAGTGGAAGAACTCACAGGACTCAACTTAAAAAATTGAATGAGGGGAAAAGTTTAGAGATAACCAGACCTTCGGGTAAATGGCAATACCATTACTGGAAATAGGACACACAGGAAGAAAAACAGGTCTAAAGGAGAAAACAAAATGCTTTTTGACTACTGAAAGAAGGATAAAGCAAAGACTCAGTTTAATCAGGAGTTTTCCTCTTACGAGGTTAACTAATAACAATTATCAGGTAATTGCTTTTGAACATTCTAAAAAATTCTGAATTATAGTATGGAGAGTATGACTCCTTCTAAATTAATTTATGTATAGATCTATAATGAATAAAACACTGGAATTCTACAAAATGGTTCCTCTTCAGTAATTGTGCGTAATTAATCTAAAATATGACTATTAAGAAAGTAACAGAAAAGTCTTACCATCCACAGCAAGAGCTCTGTGCAAGAGGTCTTTTGCAGCTCGAACAACGGTGCTTACCACAGAGAGAGCTCTGCTACAGTTTTTATCTTCTTCATTGGCTTTACTCAGAAGTTGGGACTGTAAATCTCCATCAAACTCACTCCTATAACATGAGTAACACATGAGATTATTTTACATGGTAGGTAAAAACATGATCTAATTCTCCGTATCACATCTATTGTATAGATCAGAGCTTCTCATTTCAAGTTAAAAAAGTTAAAGTTTAAAAAAGTAAATATGTAGTTATATAAAGTCAAGGAGTGATAGGGTCTCAAAGAAAAATAAAGCAGAATAAGGGCATAAGGTTATTTGAAATAAGATCAAGGAGTGTCTAGCTTAAAACTGATATTAAACAAAGGCCTGACCTATGTCTTAAAAAAAAGATCTGAGGGCAAAGTATTCAGGCAAAAGGAATAGTAAGATAAGGTTCAGACAAGAACAAGATTGGTGAGTTCAAGGAACAGAATGACAGCAAGTCTACCTGGAATGAAAGGAGAGTGAGGAGTGTGACAAGGTGGGAAAGGTACACAGGAGTCAGATCATGTGAATTCTGTAAGCCACAGTAATGACTGGAATGGGAATGGGAAGTTAGGAGAGGATTTTCACCAAGGGCCGAACTTGGTATGGTTTCCATTTCTATGAGATCACTCTGGCTGTGCTGTAGAGAACCGACTGTAGGAGGGCAACGTGACAGGAGGGAGACTGGTTTAGAGGCTGCTACAGCTATCCAGGTAGGAGTGGTGATGGTTTGGACTACACTGTTAATTATGGGAGTGGTATACAAAGTCACATTTAGAACATTTTAAAAGTATAGCTGCCAGGACTTGATGAACTAGATGTAAAGTGAGGGAAGGAAGGAAGTCCAGAAGGGCTCCAAGAGTTTGGCTGTAACAGTGGACAGGGAGGACGACTCTGGACACGTTAAACTAAGCTGTCTATCAGCCAACTCACTGGAGCCGCCTTAAACTGGTGTGTGTGACAGTGGGTAAGAGTGGGTCATTCCATTTCCTGCCTACAAACCCCAGGACCATAAACGACTACAAGTGTGTCTTTAGACAAGTCATTTAACCACTCTGTCTCGGTTCCCTCATCTACAAAGTGAGGTAGGAAAAGTGCCGCCCTTGTGGGGTGACTGTGAGGACTACCTGAGATACTAACACAGATAAAGCTCTTAGAGCATTGCATGACACACAGAAAGTGCTCTGTACACATTAACCATCATCATCATCTCAATAATTGTGACTCAAAGATATCAAAGAGGAACGGCCTGGATATGCAGTCTAGGGCCCAGAGGAGATGAAAGCTAGAGATATAAACTTGGGAGTCATCACAGTGGGATGGCATTTAAAGTTAAGAGATTTTAATCTTTTTAAATTTAGTTAACTTTTAAATTGAAGCTAAGGGTATCTATTTTAAAGCTTGCAGAAAAAACATACAGATATCTAAAACACTGTATTTTGTAGAAGATATAAAGTCTGTATAGCAGATGGTTCTAAGGGGCTCTCTAGCTTTTTGAAATACATAACTCTTCCCTGGTGCATGCTATGGTTTTTAATCTATAGTTTGAGAAACAGAATCATGTACTGTTTATCGTAGTGCTATTTAACAGAAAAAGTTTTCGTGACTGGGGTGAGAGGACCAGAAACTATTTGTATCTCAGTAGCAATATACCCAGATGTAGCTATTTAATGCCTATCATTTCTATTCTATTTCACATGGAGAAAGGAGGCAGGAAATCGCATCTAGCGAAACTGTTTTGTGCTATCTGTCTAGTCAACGTCCCAGGCTGTTTATGAAGGAAACAGAGGAAGCAGCAAGCCTCTGAAAGTTATTTGCAACTTCAGTGATTCGATGCTAAGTCAGGCTGAGGACAAATGGATGACTGGTCCTCACTCCTCCCTAGGGGTCCAGCTAAGCTGCTAAAAGAAAAATTCAGACTCAGTGAGAAATGTATACTTAAAAGGTTTTTAACCCAAAATTGTTATCATTTTTTATTTCCTACTGTTTACATAAGGAATGGCTTTTGCTAAAGATATTATGAGAAATACATCATTATATATTCTAGGGCCCCAAGAAGTGGATTCACGAACATCAAAATATTCTGCACACTGGACAACAGAATCAAGGCAACACTAGCACTTGGGTAGAGTTAATTGGTCATAAACTTTGAAAAAGAAATGAATACATTCCATTTAAATTTGAAACTGTAGATCACAAACTATAAAAATGACAACAAACAGCACATCTGACCAGTACATAATAAGTTTCAAAGATATTATAAAAATGGCAAAAAAATCTTAAAGTGTTCACCTTTATAGTAAAACTGAATTTATATAATGAAACGAGACCCTTTTATATAAATAAGTATAAGTACCATGTGCAAGAAAGATTCACTATATAATTTAATTATAACTACCCATTTAGCATTTTTTACATTGTAAATTATGTATGTTCTAACTTGAAAATAGTTCCCTAGCTCTATACACACACCTACCTATAGTAGAGTATCTGTGGAATCTGTCCTCTGGTTTGGTTTGTGCCATTGCTACTCAAACTGCATGTGCTGAACGTAAATGTCACACCATCAGGGCACTGAACTGTGGTCATTCCTCCATCTCCATTGGCTGTACGGCTTCCATAGTTTCTCAAGCGCACAGCATATTTAACATTTTCCTTCACAATAAAGATGTAAAACATGTTTATAATTATTCACAATGTACTGAAGATATACAAAAAGACTCTGCAGTAAACTGGGCAAATACAGTGAATTTTTTTGTCACATATACATACACACACACGATTTGGCTATATGAGTTTTTAATGACTCAAAGAGGATGATAACTAACACTTAGTGATGTTTACTATTTAACAGAAACGGTTCTAAATATTTTATGTGATTTAATTAATCTTTAAAATGACCTCATGAGGTAAGTACCATTATTATCCCTATTTTACAGATGAGGAATATCAAGCACAGAGAAATTAAGTGACTTGCCCAAAGTCACAAAGCTAGTAAGTGGTGGAACTAGGATTTGCATACGGGCAGTGACACTCCAGTTCCTGCTCTTAACAAGACTGGAAAGGGTGTTGGCCATAATAAAAGACTTTAAATACATAAGATAATATTTTTCTTTGATGAGTTTAACTTTTGAAATAATTTAAAATAAAGGAAAAAATAATGGTGTGAGTCCATTATATTTTTATTTTAAGAGATAATCAGAGATAGAGATAGATAGGCAGATATGGAAAGAAATATCCATAAGAAAAACTTGTCCAAAATATCATGCACTATACATAGAAAATGTGAGAAATAGATATTGGTGCCTTATGATTCATGATATAAACTTCATAATGAAGGTTTTTTGTTTTTTTGGTATCTAAACACTTTTTGATGAAGTCTCAGTGAATTTACCTTACCCAAAATTCTGCTACTCTAGAATGAAAACTATTACAGTTGAATTCAAAATTACTCTATTAATAATTACTTTAGTATTAAGTACAATTTGTTTTGCTAAATAGTTATTTACTGCTAGACAATTAAGTTATATAAACTAATAGTAACCTTAACAGTTATTAGTATTGTTAAGACCATTTATTTATTTATTTTTTATTTTTTAAATATTTTATTGTGGAACCTGGGGAGGGGGGAACAGCGTTGGGGAATCAGGGAAGGGCAACAGACATGTTGTCCTTTTGTTCTTCAGTCTAGTTGTGGAGGACGTTGCTTCACTGGCCCATGTTGGTATTATCATTGCACTCTTCCCCAGTGAGGCAAT